TGAATTTTCAGCATCATTACTCCAGTTTTCAGTGTCACATGATCTTTCAGAAATCATTCACATATGCTGATTTGGTGCTCAAGAAACATTTCTTATTATTATCAATGTTGAAAACAGTTTTGCTGCTTTATGTTTTTGTGGAAACCATTATACATTTTTTTAGAACGTTCAAAATAACAGCATTTATTTGAAATAGAAATCTTTTGCAAAAGTATAAATGTCTTTACTGTCACGTGACACGTCTGATCAATTTAATGCATCCCCCTTGCTTAATAAAAGTAATAATTTCTTTCCAAAAAATTGAATCCAAAAACTCCAGACTTCTGAATGGTAGTGTATACAATCTATATAATATGTAACTTATCATTTATAATATGAAATGATAGTACAAAAAGACACAATTGAAATAAAATAATATGATAACTCATATAAGTTATTTATACATTCAAGTCATATAAGTTAATTCATAAAAATGTAATGGGAAAATTGCATTTATGTCAATTTTATTGCTATCATGTGCTTGCAATGTGAAGAGAACAGGTTTGTTACCCAGAGGGAATGTCGTGCAATAGAGGGTTAATCTTTAGTTATGTGCAGGGACATCACCCCCCGGGTGGCTAGCGGCGAATCTGCATGTATATGCAAATGATCAAGCCTGACTTTGCTTGCACACGATTAAGATTTCAGTTTTACTGTGCAACATGATCATATCGCCTCCTTTAGTTTTATTCATAACATTTCAACACACTTTACTCATGATATTAGATCTGGGTTTTACATTATCCCTAATAAATGAACACTTGAAATACAACAGGCTTTTCTCAGGTTTATATAATATACAAGAGGTTGGAGTGGGCTCACTATAGCGAGAGAAAAGGTTGAGTTAGAGGAAGTGTTTGCAAAGGGACCCCACTGAGACCCCTCACACAATTTGAAGAGATGCTGGAAGAATGACTGAAGGGACTGATAAAATTGTTTATGTTTAAACTTCTGTCTGAAAATCTATTTTTGAGTTTTCAGTCTCTGTAGCTCTCTTTATATATACAGTATATATATATAAATGTGATTAAAAATAGATCCTTAGCAGTCAGAGAGGCTCAAATTAAGACCAACATCTGCTCAGTCCCAGTAAAAAATAAAAAAACAAGAAACTGTCAGAAAAGAGAGAAATATTGATAGTAGTAGTCATGGTTAAATGTCGTAACTGAGTGAGCATAATATTAACAAAATCTTTTTCCCATTTCAGTGTTTTCTGCCAGACCCAGGCATGAAGATAAGTTGCCATGGAAGCGAAGCGCGGCGACTGTGGCGGAAAACGAAACGTTGGAACACAGCGACAGCATGTGAGCAGTAAGCGATGGGATGCATTCAACGGTCAAACGGTAAGCAGTGGTTTTGAAAAAAACGCACCTTAGCCGTGGCGTTTGTGAGGCGTGATGCAGCGACAGGGTTGATATAAAAAAGCTGTTTGGTGCATTCAACGGTCAAACGGTAAGCAGTGGTTTTGAAAAAAACGCACCTTAGCCGTGGCGTTTGTGAGGCGTGATGCAGCGACAGGGTTGATATAAAAAAGCTGGTTGGTTTGAGGGGGGTGGGACTCCACCTTAGAGAAACAACAACAGCAACACAAACAAGAGTTTGGGTTCAAGATGGAGGTTAAAGGGAAGAATGTGACCACTTCTGACTGGGCTGTGACTGTATGTCTTTAATATTGAATCATTTACCTGAAAATGTGTCATATTGTTCATTTCTCGACAGGCGTGTATGTTGCATCTCTTTAAAACAGCTCTATCTGACTTCTATTGAGTTAGAAACGGTATTGGATATGAAAACAGCTGTGTTAAACAGATGTGGTTCTGCAGGTGTGTCTTAGACAGGTGGCCATCAGACAGGTATATGTCAGAGATGGGCTCACCCTGACGAAGCTGGCGGGAAACCAGCCCTCCTCCTCGTCGATTTGACCCCACCACCAGTCCTTATTCGAGGCGTCCAACACCTTGATGACATCGCCGGCCTTGAAGGCCAGCTCCCGGTCAGCCATGGTCACATGGTCCCATACTGCCTCGGCATTCACTACAGAGCCCCCGCTGACCAACTGCAGAAAGAGAGATGGAGTAGATGCAGGATAAGCTACAGGAGGACAAAAGTTACATAACATCCGAAACATTCTGGATTAACATCAAACAGTCACATGCTGGCTTCCACTCCACAGTCAGCTCTCCGGAAACAAAACTGACAGGGGTGTCAAGATATAACGCTGCATCGCATTTGGGCTTGCCCTGTTTTTCCGACTGCTTCACCTCAGTTTGGAAACAAAAGGTTGCTAGGATAGACACAATACCCCTATTTTTTGAGAGAAGTTGATAGGCCTTATTAGGGTAGCACTTTATTCCTCTATGTAGTAATTACAATAAATAGGTAATAACTAGGTACTAACCCTGAACCTACCCCTAAACCTAACCCTACCCCTACCCCATGTAGTTACCAGAACTTTCTTAGGTAGGTACACTGTAAGTACATGTACTGTAAAATAATGTGCAACCCTTATTAGTATTACTAGCACATAAAATAAATAGAGGTTTCTTAATGTTTTTGAAAGATGTCTCTTATGCTCACCAAAGCTACATTTATTTGCTCAGAAATACAGTAAAAACTGTAATTTTATAATATATATATATATATATATTTTTTACATTTTAAAATAACTGTTTCCTATTTTGAATATATTTTAAAAAGTAATTTATTCCCGTGGTGGCAAAGCTGAATTTTCTGCATCATTACTCCAGTATTCAGTGTCACATGATCCGTCAGAAATCCTTCTGATATGCTCATTTGGTGATCAGAAAACATTTATTGTTATTGTCAATGTTGAAAACAGTTGTGCTGCTGTGTGTGGAAATTATGACACATTTTTTAATAGAAAGTAGAAATATAAAAATAGAAAGTTTAAAAGAACGGCATTTATTTGAAATAGAAACATTGTAAATAATATTTACTGTGACTTTTGATCAATTTAATACATCCTTGCTGAATAAAAGTATTAATTAAAAAAAATCTTTCAGACCCCAAGCTTTTGAACAGTAGTGTATAATAAATGATTCACTATATTCACTGCATTCATATCCATTCCTTTGTCACAGAATGTTGCTTCCAACCAGCAAACACATTTATGCAAATCCTTTATACAAATAATTTATTAATAAAATATATCAAACTACTATTTAAACTATCCTTTTGTTATTGGTGAAAAATATCTGAGGGCAGTTCTCTTGAACAGGAGTTAAACACACACACACACACACACACAAAGAATTTATGCTATATATATAATAATGACAGACAACTAGATACTGACTACAATGCCATACAAACAGCATACCTCATCCAAACTCGCTCTAAACATTCAGTTGTGACTGTTAATTTAAAGGGGTGGTTGATCAGCTTTTTTCCAAAGCTTGACTGTGTTTATGGGGTGCAGTGTAACATGTGTTCATGCTTTGTTTAAAAAAAAAAAAACGCATTATTTTCACATATTTTACCTTTATTCTACACCGCTGTTTCCATTCTCGTCAAAACGGTCTGTTGAGTTCCTGGTTCTATGAAGCCCCTCCCTCAGAAATACGTAATGGGCTCTGATTGGTTAGCGGGCTCAGTGTGTTTGTGATTCGCTAACCGCTTAGTGCACGTTGTCCGGAAACGTCACGCCCCCTTACCATTACGGGTAGCTGAATGTTCCAGGGGGCGGGGTTTATGTAAACATCAGGGTTAGTGATGTCACAAACCCAGGAAGAAGCTCGTTGTAGTCCCTATTAGCCATTTTTTGTAGTCCTTAAACAGCGATTTCATTAAAAGAAAATATCTCCCTTTGCATTGAACTCTGAGCGTCGTAACTTTGCAGACGTTGTTTATGCTCTAACAGCAACATTACACACTAACTAAAGTTCAAAAAGTGAAATCATAATCAACCACCCCTTTAATGAAATATACAGAATTTAAAAGAGAACGTCTCTTTTAAACCAGCTCCAAATCGGATCTGAAATGAACTGGATCCCACGGTTCAATTGTGCTCATATAGGAAGGAAGTGGCACTTTCACATATACAAGCCCATGACAGCAACTTGAGATGATGGCTTGGTAATTCTCTACACAGAAACACTCATACATAATCAGCTCCAAGATTTCACCCCTACATCTCCAGGCACTTTTCCTCTCTCTCTCTCTCTGTCTCAGAGGCAGCCAGGCTGTAAAAATTCTCTTTTGCGCACTTAAAGAGAAAAATTTGTAAGCAGAACGAGTAAAATCTTTTTGATTTGTATAAAGCAACTGCATTTGATACACATCATGGCAGTTGTTATCTCAGTGTCACAACACATTGTGGGTAAATGCGAGAGTTCTCCGCTGATCTGAAATCTAAACTCCATTACTGTTGTTCAAGTGTACAGGGCACTGAATTACCCAACATAAACACATGTGTACTTGTTTATGCTACATTGTGGGTACCAAATGTCCCCACAAGGATAGTAAAACCTGTAATTTTTTGACATTGTAGGTGTTGAAAGCTCTGCGGTCCCCACGAGATAAAAAAATTATTAAAAATAGTAAATGATGTTTATCTGAAAGTGTAACAATGCAAAAAATGTAAGGGGTAGGTTTAGGGTTAGGGTTGGGTTAGGGGACTGAAAATATCATTTGGTCAGTATAAAAGAAATAGAAGTCTATAGACAGTCCCCACAATTCACAGAAACAAACGCGCGCGTGTGTGTGTGTGTGTGTGTGTGTGTGCGTGTGCGTGTGTACGTGCAATTACATACAAATACACACAGCCTTTAAAGGGGTCATATGATGCTTTTTTAAAGATCATTATTGACTTTAGTCTTTGCGACTTCAGGGATCTTATCTATGCACAATCAGCTTGTAACACTCCAAAGAGAAAGGAAAACTTGAAATCGCATCATATGACCCCTTTAAGGATTTGAATTATCACTCCACCATCAATTTTAGTTTTATCTACTGTACAGAACCTTCTCCAGAAGCTATATGTATCTATATGTGTGTAAATGCATTACTTGTGTCTTGTACATGTTTGTAATTTGAGATGGTGATTTTACTGGGTGAAAATCTTGCATTAGTGATGGGGATCTTTCAAAGACTATTTCATGTGAATCACATTGTATTACCAGTAGATGGCAACAAGTGACTGCCTTCATGTATGAATCACTAATTATTCATTTAATCCTTTTGTTCAAACACTGTTTCATGCAGGATTAAAGCATGGGCGTAGCTTGTTACGCATAGCGATTAAAGAATTTTACTAAATATTTATTTATAACGTTTTTTCTATGAAGTAAAAATGCATATAATGTAGTTAATAATACATGTAAAAGTTAATACGTAAAAGTTAATACATTTTAAATTGTTATTGTAAGTAAATTAATAAATCAAAACAAACTTAACGTCTCCCTCAATCTCATTTGCGTAAGAATTGTCATGTGACGAATCTGCATTTTGGTGGATAATAGACTTAACGGTAATGCTTGCCTGTTGTGTGGAATAAAATGATGTTCCGCGTTTTTAACAACATACACGAACTGCAGAGAAATCTGGAGACAACGAAAAACTCAGATGAAGATATTAATGCCGTGCTTGATGATTCCGGATCCGGACAATCAGATAAAGGTGATCCACGGGACGCACCCAGTTTAGCCGCACACTACTTTTATGCCGACCGTTTACATACAAATGTTATTTAATTTTCACAGAACACAACATTTAAATAGATTTTAGAATATAAACTGTTTATCATCTATTCAGTAAGACTAAATAAAAAGTGTGCGCCTCATTGCACATTAACTTGAATCAAGCCCAACAAATGTCTGTTTTAAAAACAGTGGATGAGTAATTCACTCCTTGATTTGCTTAATAAAAGCCTCCTTTGAGATCGTTTTGACAGACATGTTTATTGTGCATTTTAAACGTGTTTATTGCTAAGTTTAATGTGGCAAAATAGAAGCGCAGCTGTAATTCGTGGGCAATGTATGTGGTTACCATGACAACCTCAAGCACTTGCCACTGCTCTATGTGAATGTGAATATGTAGATTTACTATAGCAAAACTAAAATGTGTTTAAAAGTACGTCTGACCAAATCCACCGGTTCGGTTTGGCCCCCCCCAAACTCAAACGTCAAGCTACGCCTATGGATTAAAGTGTTTGTTTACGTAAGTGAATCATTGAATGATTCACTCAATTCATTCAAGCAAATGTGACTCTTTGCTGTCGTTAATTCTGCTATTTTTTGCTTGAAAGTGTTTTAATTAGCAATGCAAAAACTGACTAAATTACTGGCGATAGTGTCTAGAACGTATGTTATTCAAAACAATCTCTTGCTCACTGAACTGTTTTATAAAACCAATATCTGTCGCAATTGTGCCGTTTTTGTAAATATCAAGATGGCTGTGATTGCCTGAGACATTCTTGCTTGTGTGATACTGCTTCATTAATTTATAATAAGTTTCATGGATAAATATACAAATGATCATTTCCTACAAGACAGTTGTGTTCAACACAATCCCAGACAAATGAAAGATGAGAACATAGCGACTTAAAAACATGGCTGTAACAACGTTCGTAGTCATGGGAAGAAGGAGGCGGGAACCGGCGAACATTTAAACAAAACTTTAATAATAAAATAAACACAAAACAGCGCGACAGCCCCTCGCGGACGACTGTCGCGCACAAACAGAACCAAAACACAAAATGAAGTCTAGGCCTGGTCCTCTCTCGTCCAACACTGTCGTCACTCCTCCTTTTATCCTTCCGGAGCTCCTCCGTGGGACTCGAGACCGGTGAGTGGCGCAGGGGTCCCGCATTAGCATTTACTCCACCGGCCTTGCTCCGTTCCCACGGCTCTCGGCCCCGCTCCTCTCGTCACAATGGCAAATGAGGGTAATATTGAAAAGCACCTATGCTGTGCTGAATATCCATGACACCTAAAGATTGGCGGGAAAACTGAACAAAGAAAGACAGGAAACTAGTGAAAACAAACTAAAAGTTCATGATAATGAAACACTAAGTCACAGTAGGCTACTGTTTGTTGT